TGTGAGGAAACTCCATGTATTGTAGCAGAAAAATGTCAACAAATAATATGAAGTGTAGTGCAGTTGATATAGAAAGTTCAATTCCTGCTATATATTTGTAGTAAAGTTGTCAAAGAATCAGATATTTGGCAGACCTTTCTTATACATATGACTTAAAAGTGGTTGCAAGGATTTATAAAACCCAAAAAACAAACTGATTCCTATCCCTTATACAGAGAACAGTGTGGAAATATAGATGAACTGAAGTATTGAAAATAACGTCAGGTAATTCGGGTAAAATGGACTTCCATCATGATTTTACATATTCATAATGTGTTTATACAGCCTCCCTTAAGAAAAACACATTCCATACATGTTTTCAGCCTGTTTTTGTTGTCATTATCTGTCCAGCCTGTAACATCTCATCTTTGCTAGTCAAGCGTTCATTTTGTATTCACATATTCATGTAATCAACCTTAGCGGATTTAGCCTTCTTCTCCAAGCTTTCAAATTATTGAATCTGGCACAGGGACTTGGCACGAATTACCATCATATGGTCCACATATTTGTTTTATATCATACATTATATAATACACATATGTGAACTGAGGGTTAGAAATTAATACCAAGTCCCTGTGCATGCAAATAATAATGGCGGTGCCCAGTAACAAGTTGCCTTGTCGACTATGTCATGATTTATGTAAAACAACAAAGGAGGACAATACTTATAGAAACATTTTCTGTATATGATCAGTTGGTAGAGATAATTGGCCCTATTCTAACTGTAAATGATAACCAAGGGAAATACATAGGCGACCAGTGCTGAAATAACCTTGAAAAATTAAAGTTTTGCTAGTAAAGTGTCTATGCAAGGTGGCAGGGGAGGGAAATTAAACACAAGGCTAAATCTGTCAAGGTTGAATAGTACAAATTTAAATTATGAACCCTTGGCTATTGAAGATGGTGAGATAACGAGGTTCGATCGTAAAATAAGATGTGTCTTCAGCAGTATGCTCCAGTGAAATTAAACTATAAAGTCAGCATCAGTTCTGCGCTATCACAAGGAGACAAACACGAACATACCAGACTCCCAAAACACAAATTAGTTATGCACAAACTCACCACACGCATGCATCTAGCAAATGGGGGAGGCCGTCCTTAAATGACAATGTATACCTGTTGATAAGACGTACATTAAACAATACTTAATTAAACCTGAAATTTATTTTGACATAAAGATCTTATTTATTTGGATGACTTGTTATTTTAAACAAATGATTTTGCTAGTTTCAGCTTGCATGCACTGTGTGAATGTTATTTTAATAACATTGTACCCATATGAATCCATGATTGTCGTGAAGTGGTGCTTTATTTGAATTTAATACATTTGATGCTCTATTACCTGACCTGGAACGCATTCGTAGCCATACCGAGACAATTACAATACTGTGGTATAACTGTATATATATTGTGTTCATAGTTTAAGCGTCTGCGTGACCAGCTGTTCTAACTTACAAACGTCCAGGTGACGAGAAAGAACATGAGAGGAATGTTTTTGACTTTTGACAGGAGCTGTAGGCAATTCACACTATTCAATTTGTATTAATCTTCTTTTTGGATAACGACGCTTTAACTTGTAAGCAAAAAATACATCACTGGCGTCACGAGCAGCATCAATACTAAAAACGTCTTTTAATATTGGTTACAAATAAATGCTATGTCCCAATCACCTGCCCTCTGGACTGGTTTTTAAGTAAGTTGTTTTAGTGCCAAATTTTGTACAGCATGATTATTTAGCCTCTTTATCTTAATCCTTCCCACGTAGGTATCTTGTGATAAAAATTGTTGTTTGCCTTACACTGTTACAATGTTTTACCATTTATATAGAAATATATGTTTGTCGAAATACAAGCCCCTGAGAGCTTATTTTAACTATGACATATATTCAACGTAAAATAATGGTTCTATGCTTTTATCCGATAATTTTAAGATAAAAAAACCCACACACACACAAGCTTTTAATCACGAACTTTTCCTAGAATGCGCCTTTGTATAATCTTCGGCACGATGAAGGACACAAGTTAAGGTATACTGTTGATGCCGACATGTACAAATGTATGTAAACTGTAAAACGAAAGTAGGTCTGCGCGATCGCAAACATTTAATGCTGATATTTTCGCATAAATGTCAGTTAGTACTTGATGTGATAGCAATGGATTAAACGAGTGTTACCTTGTGTTGTATTCTAGCACATCAGTGTCTCAATACATACGGTATTAATATGTTAATGTTCGATAGACGTCTGTTTATTATTACTGTCCCGATGATGTTGTGAGGTATATCCGGGTCACGTTCTCGTTCAAGTGCGCTTCCGGTTACGTCATAAAATGCAAATTTTCAATTCACAAAATCTTAATATTTATTAATTAAAGATAGTTTAAAGAATAAACGAGTTAATAAAAACAATAGCAATACATTGTAAATATTATTTTCTTGAATGTTTGCGAAGCAGACGACGTTTGATCAAAATCTCGAAACTAGAACATTTTTTTAAAAAAAATGTGTTTTAACATTTGAAAGAAAAAAGTTTGAAGGGGAAAAAATCAATTTGTTCTTTTATGAATTAATGAAAGTGGTACAAAAAAGAAATATAGTAAATGATTGATAGTAGATTTATCAAAAACATCATCATTAGAGAGTATATTCTGGGCATGATCGTTTAGAAGCTTTGCAATACTTCAAACTCTTTCAAACGCGCATCAGCTCGAGATTAGGCCCCTGTTTACAAAATGGCGACTGGAATTAGCAAGGCGGATTAAATTGGAACTTCAATTGTGAATATTTCGGCAAGTAAACATTGTTCACAAAGCCCATGTGGTTTGTTCATCTAATTTAGTCAAGATGTACTCAGACCAGTCGTTGTTTAGTCGCTAGGGTCATTCACAAAAAAATAGTATTATTATATAAACTTATTGTAATTATTGTAATTATACTTAGACTGAAGAAACTCAAAGGAGGGGGGTGGGGGTGAAGAATTAACTACAACTTAGTGTTATTTACAGAGGTTCACAAATAAATTAGATATATATAAGAACCAATTTTAATACAGAGGAGAGAGAGAGAGAGATCGGGCTATACATATCTCCGTACAAGATATTATCAAATCATTTTCTTGCTATTAAAATCAGTCGACAAACAACGTTACAATATATCAGAAATAGTACTCTGGCGGTATTGAATGGCAGCGCGAGAGTATTAATAAAAACTAAAACGGGTGCAGATCTTATCGTTAACGGGTTAGTCTATGGTCCGGGACACATGTGCATCTTAGGTGTATAAATAGGCTTACTTCCTAGTATAAACCCAGTCACGCGCTACATATACTTTACCTATTCAAGCTATAACCACAAGTAAAAACCGGGTTACCGACGTACATACATGTACGCTATGGTGTTAAATATCTCTAATCTGCGGTGATAACGCATCGGAACTTCCGTGTTTCAAAATTTAAAGTTTGTGTTTTTATATTTGTCGTCAAAGCTTTGTGTATATACGAGGACGCATGCTGGTCGGATCAACGCTGGTGTAACGTGTGGATAAGTTACTCACAATTCAAAGTGGAGATTTCCCCTCTTATCCGAGACATCCCGACCATTCACATTGTCAGTCGTATGTCGTGAGTTGGACTCAGTAATGATGCAGGTCCGACCCTTCACTCGGTGAAATACACGCGTCCTTACTTTTTTCGCAGACCTTGCAAGACACTCATTTGAAAAAAAGATGCATGATACACACAGTTATTGGCATTCTCAAAGGAAAAGTAGAAGGTAAGTACGACCTTAATTCACACGATAGTTCATTCATTAACCCTCAATATGTATAACTGATGATACCTACATGTGTGGTTATATGTGGAGGTTATTGCAGATTTATTTGAGATGCAGACAAACTTGTGTGTTATATTTATACTTATCCACTTGATTAAGGTACTTCGCTTGGATAAGTGGATGGGGACGGTGATGATGCAGTAAGAGAAAGGGGGAGGGGGAGGGAGCGAGGTCGGGGACGAGATGAAGGTGGAGGAGTGATTGTCTTAACATGTGACGTAGATTAAACTCAAATTCTTCATATATCTGTATATGTGTAGACTCTCAACCCTTCCATAGAATAAACCCTTTCTACTTTCGGTTTGTCCGCGATGAATAATTCAATGTTGAGATTGTGTTTTGGAAAGGTTTGAGCGACAATTCTACTCCTATTGTTGTTTGTTTGGGTGGGTTGCCAATTGTGTAATCTATCTGCCTACTTTCGTTTTACCCATACTTTATAGGACTTTGTTAAGTACCTTGTAGTCTATACCTCTCTGTACAGTTTGTAAATAAGGTACATTTGTATATACATGTATGTGATTACCGTCAGTGAGGAAAGCAGTGTTATACATAGTACAGAAATGATAACACCAATACAAACATTAATAATTGCTAACACAATCAGGTGTACTGTCTGCTGGTCGACAGGTAAAGTGCAGTAGGGCCGCTGTGAACGTCGACGTGGTTACACTGGCAGTACTGCCGAGAAAGTCTGTCTGCAACAGAACAGTAACTCGTTAGAGCAAATCATAATGACGTAATAAGACAGAAAACTTTGTTTTTTTTATCAAACAAAAGTTTAACATCGCGTTCTGTTCGAGCTCAACGCAAACATCGCTTAATTCTCTCCACCACACCATTGTTATGTTTACCGTTCTTCAATCATGTAGAACTATTACATCGTGGCCAGAACCTTACCATGCCATATCAAGATAAGTGTAATAATTAAGACACTTCCTTATTGGAAACGAACATGACTCAGCCCAATCATCCTGAATGGCGTGTTATATACTTCACGTACGGGTACTAACTCATCAGGTACCCAACGCGTATTTGTGATGACATGTAACTCGATGCCTATTACAGGCGATATACATGTATGTAAATAGACACTCTCTTGTGACGACATGTCTTATGTAATGTAGTTTCCCGATACTTCCTAGCCGAAACACCTTTAAGAAGACATATTAACTGACACTTATATGTACAGAATCTTTGCAGTTTTAAAATTTACAAGATTATCATCACATAGAGCTAATGGTTATATAATTATTACACAAAGAGTAAATGGTAACATTATTGTTACATAGATTAAATGGTTACATTATTGTCAAATATAGCAAATGGTAACATAATTGTCACATATAGTTAATGGTTACATTATTGTCACATACAGTTAATGGTTACATTATTGTCACATACGTTTAATGGTTATATTATTGTCACATACAGTTAATGATTACATTAATGCCAGATAGAGTTAATGGTTACATTATTGTCACACAAAGTTAATGGTAACATTATTGTTACATAAAGTTAATGGTAACATTAATGTTACAAAGAGTAAATGGTTACATACAGTTAATGGTAACATTATTGTTACATAAAGTTAATGGAAACATTATTGTTACAAAAAGTTAATGATTACATTATTGTCACATAGAGTTAATGGTTACAGTATTGTCACATAAACTTAATGGTAACATTATTGTTACATAAAGTTAATGGTAATATTATTGTTACTTACAGTAAATGGTTACATTATTGTCACAAAGGGTAAATGGTTACATTATTGTCACATATAGTTAATGGTTACATTATTGTCACATACAGTTAATGGTTACATTATTGTCAAATAAAGTTAATGGTTACATTATTGTCAAAAAAGTTAATGATTACATTATTGTCACATAGAGTTAATGGTTACAGTATTGTCACATAAAGTTAATGGTAACATTATTGTTACATAAAATTAATGGTAACATTATTGTTACAAAGAGTTAATGATTACATTATTGTCACATAGAGTTAATGGTTACAGTATTGTCACATATAGTTAATGTTTACATTATTGTCACATATAGTTAATGGTTACATTATTGTTACTTACAGTAAATGGTTACATTATTGTCACATACAGTTAATGGTAACATTATTGCCAGATAGAGTTAATGGCTACATTATTGTCACACAAAGTTAGTGGTAACATTATTGTCAGAAAAAACTAATGGTTACATTATTGTCACAAAGAGTTAATGGTTACATTATTGTCACATAGAGCTAATGTTTACATTATTGTCACAAATAGTAAATGGTTACACTATTGTCACATAGAGGTAACGGTTACATTATTGCCAGATAGAGTTAATAGCTACATTATTGTTATACAAAGTTAATGGTAACATTATTGTCAGAAAGAGCTAATGGTTACATTACTGTCACATAGAGTTTATGGTTACATTATTGTCACAAATATTAAATGGTTACATTGTTGTCACATAGAATTAATGGTTACATTATTGTTACAAAGAGTTAATCGTTACATTATTACCACTTAGAGTTAACGGTTACATTATTGATATACAAAGTAAATGGTTACATTATTGTTACATACAGTAAATGGTTACATTATTGTCACATAGAGTTAATGATTACATTATTGTCAAAAAGAGTAATTGGTTTCATTATTGTCACAAAGAGTAAATCGTTACATTATTGCCACATAGAGTTAACGATTACATTATGTTCATATACAGTTAATGGTTACATTATTGTCACATATAGTTAATGGTTACATTATTGTTACATACAGTTAATAGTTACATTATTGTTACATAGAGTTAACGGTAACATTATTGTCATATACATTTAATGGTTACATTATTGTCACATATAGTTAATGGTTACATTATTGTTACATACAGTTAATAGTTACATTATTGTTACATAGAGTTAACGGTTACATTATTGTCATATACAGTTAATGGTTACATTATTGTTACTTAGATTTAATGGTTACATTATTGTCACATACATTTAATGGTTACATTATTGTCACATAGAGTTAATAGTTACATTATTGTCACATATAGTTAATACATGTAGTTACGTTATTGTCACATATAGTTAATGGTTACATTACTGTCACATAAAGTTGATGGTTACATTATTGTCACATAGAGTTAATGGTTAGAGTATTGTTTCATAGATTTAATAAATGTATTTACATTATTATGACATAGAGTTAATGGTTACAGTATTGTTTCATAGAGTTTATAAATGTAGTTACATTATTGTCACATATGTTAATGGTTACATTATTGTCACATAGAGTTAATGGTAACATTATTGTTACAAAGAGTTAATGATAACATTATTGTAACATAGAGTTATTGGTTTCATTATTGTCACATAGAGTAAATGGTTACATTTTTGTCACATAGAGTTAATGGTTACATTATTATCACATAGAGTAATTTGTTACATTCTCATAACATCGAGTAAATGGTTACATTCTTATAACATAGAGGTAATGGTTACACTATTGTCACATATAGTAATTGGCTACATTATTGTCACATAGTTTTAATGGTTACATTATTGTCACATAGAGTTAATGGTTACATTATTGTCACATAGATATAATGGTATTGCTTTTTTGTCTTTTAAAAGTTTTTTTTTTTTTACATTTACATTTATTTGATAAAATATGTGTTCCTTGTAGGTATTTCCTGTTTCCCTTTTGTTTCCCCAAAAGAACATACTCCATTGTGGATATATCTCTGCTCGAATTACTGTATTGTATCCTATTGGATTTTTTCCGGATTTCGTAGAAAGTGTGTGTATTTCCGATTACAATAAGTACCAGCCGTCAGACTGAACAGGTCACGCATTACTTATGTATATATACACTAACAACATTTCCCAGAACGGATGTAGAACACAAGTGCGCAATAATGGAAAAACGTAATCTGCCATACTCATCTTGAGAGACACAGTTTGTGTGCAAAGGTGATATGAAGTTTAACGATTGTTAATACACCAACGTGCTTTTTTGTAATATTCCTGTCTAGTTATGGTAAGCAATACGAATTCACTATTATAGTCATGTTTAACGTCATATAGCTGAAAAAAACATGTAAACTTTGTCATACTAATAAAAGAAAGTACTGCCTACTTGTTTCAAGTGGTATTTTGTGTTTATACAAGACTCCCTTGCTAACAATAGATGTTGGACTATCCGTTTGTTGCGTTGTGATGCAACTATTGTAGACAGCTAGAACAAACGCTATTGTCATATTTGCGTGTTAGTCTACAATTGATTGTTTAATTAAGATACTGTTGACAAGGACTGAAGTGGACATGATAGAAGTCCTCTTACACTCAATGGGGTTAACAATAAAGTGTCTCTCCCCCTCTCACGTTCACTTGTATAGTCCTCAATAAACATACACATCATGAATATTAAAACACTTTTTCCGGATCCCAGTTCGACATGACAACAGACTATTGAATTGTCACTTTACTCGGAATCCCACGACGTTGTGTACGACGGAAGTCGACGCGTCCGGTAAACAAGAAAACCCATATGTTCATGTTACTCCACCTGAAATTAGACAACACAATTATAACTAGCCTGTAAGGGTGTGTGATGTTAACAGTGAAGGAAGCATATCTACTATACAACAGGCGTGTTCTGGGTTCTCTAGTCCGGTGACGCCATGAACATCGCCTTGGTCTTGCACTTGAAAGGTTGGGGTCAGAATATACGCGAACGAGGAGACATATGTGCACCCCCTTCCCTTCCCTCACTCCTCCTGCAGAAACAGGTGTGGTTTCTCACGTGCCTTTTGTTTAAAGGATACTGGACAAACCAAGAAAAGACCTGTCGTATCCCACTGTCTGTGTATCATAAGAGGAGACCGATGTGGGGCCCCCTGCGGAATCCGGGGCTTTTCCTCTGTAATAGGACATTGACTCTGCTGACCTATTACAGCATAAGCGCGATATTTTTATATCTTTGTTACCCCTTTTTTACCAACTTTTTCTTTCTTTCTTCTCTCTTTACTCACTTTCCGGTTGTGTCTCCCTAGGTAAATGCTTTCATAAGAACCTGGCTATTGCGAGGACATTTAACTCATATCATAAAACAAACTTTGCTTGTGATAATTTAAAAACGTAAGTTGTAGAAATAGTGAGATAGGGACTTTAGATACGGTGTATCTCTCAATAAGCCCTTCTGGCCAACTTTGAAGGCTGCTAGTTTTTGTATGTGAAAGTAACTTTCGATCAATTCGTCACAAAAACTTGTTGTTTTAGTACGTACTTTTAGTATTTTCTGTCATTTGTTTTAAATTAATACTTCCTTACTTCTATCTTTCTTTATCGTTTTGTAAAAGGCAACAAAAAGACAATATCTATCACTACGAACTATTCTCATCCATACCGTGAGCGATCTAATTTATTACTGCACTAGAGTTTGGAAAACCGTTTTTTTGTTAATTTATACTTATAACTTATCATACTGAGTGTTGCAACAAAGTAAGATATTTTAAGAAGAAAGTTTTCCTTAATTTTCGATCCCAAAAGGAATTAAAAACAGAATCAATAGGTATGATTTTTGTAGTTTTTTTCTGCTATCATATAGACATACATGAACCATTGTGCATCATTGTGATAAATTATTATAAATTCTGCAGAAAATATAAGTTGTCATGTCAAAATGATGGGACCGTTATATGTACGGTTGTTTGTTTTGTATTAAGAACCATAACCTGTTATTGCTACTTTAACAAGTAATTTGTGTGTTGTTGCAGGTCCGACGTTTTCAATGGCATCCTTGCTGCTCACATATTTCCATCGGTAAGTCGACTGTAGATTCCCCGAGAATTCCTGTACTACACTTCCTCTTTCTCGGCATTAGAAGGGAGATGAATACAACAACCAAGTGTAACTGTCTGTATTAAAACAAAACATGTATATAATGTCTGAGAGGTAAACGCTGATGTTTTTATGATCTATTGATATGCGTTTGTCCCTGTCTGCAGAACATGCATGTGTGGAATATTAATCTTCAGGCGGCCTGATTATAAGGCAGTTGGCTTAATGATCTCAACAAGTATTCCATAGTATGCAACGGAAAACTTGTAGACAGAAAGCGATCTATTGTCCTTGACTCTTCCAGAATCAATAGACTGCATTTAAACCATTCATATTTAAGTTTTCTATACCCTCACGATAAGGTGTCAAGGGTATATTGGGATCTGCCCGTACGTGCGTCCCAGACGGGATCGCCGCTCTTTAGAGCTCATTTCGTATCCAATTTATACTGAACTTCACAAAATGAATTCACAAACACCACCTTGTAAGAATTCGTGTTTAAACTTTCTTTGGTCAAATACTAGGTCACTGTTGCTCTCTACAGCTTTCATTTCTTTTCCGATTATCACGAAACTTATCACAATAATCTAATTTACACTGTACGAGCTTGCATTTCGCGAGGGTACTCATATCGTCTGAGCTGTCTTTTTAACTACAGTTTTACGTCAGTATTCACTCTGATGTCTGAACGGTCTATCTTAACTGTAGTGTGACGTCAGTATTCACTCTATTGTCAGAACGATCTAACTACACTGGAGTGTGACGTCAGTATTCCCTCTGATCTCTAAACACTCTAACTAAATTTGCAATGTAGTGTGATGTCAATATTCCCTCTGGGGTATGAACGATCTAACTATACTGTAGTGTGATGTCAATATTTCCTCTGAGGTTTGAACGAGCTAACTATACTGTAGTGTGACGTCAGTATTCCCTCGGAGGTTTGAACGAGCTAACTATATTGTAGTGTGACGTCAGTATTCCCTCTGAGGTCTTAACGATCTAACTATACTGTAGTGTGACGCCAATATTCCCTCTGAGGTTTGAACAAGCTAACTATAATGTAGTGTGATGTCAATATTCCCTCTGAGGTCCTAACGATCTTACTATACTGTAGTGTAACGTTAATATTCCCTCTGAGGTTTGAACGAGCTAACTATATTGTAGTGTGATGTCAATATTCTCTCTGAGGTCCTAACATTCTAACTATCCTGTAGTGTGACGTCAATATTCCCTCTGAGGTCTGAACGCTCTTACTATACTGTAGTGTGATGTCAATATTTCCTCTGAGGTTTGAACGGTCTAACTATATTGTAGTGTGATTTCAATATTTCCTCTGAGGTCTGAACGCTCTTACTATATTGTAGTTTGACGTCAATATTTCCTCTGAGGTTTGAACGGTCTAACTATATTGTAGTGTGATTTCAATATTTTCTCTGAGGTTTGAATGATCTAACGACGTCAATATTCCCTCTGAGGTCTGAACGGTCTAACGTTACTGTAGTGCGATGTTAATTTTCTGATATCAATATTCCCTCTGAGGGCTGAACGGTCTAACTATACCGTAGTGTGACGTCAATATGCCCTCTGAGGTCTGAACGCTCTTACTATACTGTAGTGTCACGTCAATATTCCCTCTGACGTCTGGACGGTACAACTATACTGTAGTGTGATGTAAATATTTTCTCTGAGGTTAGAATGGTCTAACGACGTCAATATTCCCTCTGAGGTCTGAACGGTCTAGCTATACTGTAGTGTGATGTAAATATTTTCTCTGAGGTTTGAATGGTCTAACGACGTCAATATTCCCTCTGACGTCTGGACGGTCCAACTATACTGTAGTGTGATGTCAATATTCCCTTTGAGGTCTGAACGGTCTAACTATACTGTAGTGTGATGTCAATATTACGTCCGAGTCCTGAACGGTCTAACGTTACTGTAGTGCGATGTTAATTTTCTGATATCAATATTCCCTCTGAAGTCTTAAAAATCAAGCGACTTTGTTATGTGACATCAATACTCCCCTAGTCGTCTGCACAATCTGCCTAGGTGTAGCTTGGTTTAATCAATATTGTATGTTAGAAGGTCTAGGCATTTTGTGACAAAACTAGAGGTGTTACTTCATATAGACCATATTTATCTATATCTTAGCAGGTAGGGGAAAATAGCTATGTCACCATGTTTCAATGGACAAACATAATGTTGATTGATAGTCTCAAATCCGTTATAAAAATTCCTAACAAAGCCCTGCTTGTCTGTACTGTCTAACGAGCCATCAGCTAATTCGTCATGCACATATCTGCATATACTCTTTGTGATATAGCCACAATCGAACTTCGCCACTACTGCGTAATGGATGTAATGACCGTATGGAGAACTTTCGTCAAGTTAAGGATCGACTCATACACATGTATTATCTTTGTTCATTCCTCAAAGAGACACGATGGTAGCCATGATTATATCGGCATCCCAGCAGTCTAACCAAATTCATTTGGTTACGTTTAAAGACCTGATAGGAACCCCGGAGAAACAACGAGATGCCCACCATGTCAAAACTACAATCTTTACGCATCCTCTCTCTTTCTAACGAGCATCATACAGATAGTCCTGCCTAGAAGAATAAGAAGCAGCTACAGTTAGATGGAATCTTCTTTAGCTCGGACATTTTGTTTATATGCACAAGAAAATTGAAATTTATCACAAAAATAATTTTGAATATTTTGCTATTTTCAAAAGTTTTGTTTTTAAAAACCCACCAAGTTTCTTTTGATATGTCATTTAAAAACAAGCCCTAACACAGCTGAATTTAGATGACCTTAACTCCTCTTCAGCGTGGTTACGTGCTACATTCCTATACAACTAAGGTCTAGCTGGTATATAATGTAGTAGCTTGCCATCTAAATAAGTTAATAATGACAAAATATGTCCATGCAAGGTCCACCTACATTATATACCTTCAATTGGAATACAATGCCACTGTGTGAGGCAATGCCAGACAATATGGCGAACCGAAAACATATGAATTTGATTACAACTGGTTAAACTTGAAAAAGACACATACATATCCGTGTTTTCTGAATCTTACTTTTTACAAGCAACAATTAATGAATTACATCATAATAATATGGTGCATTAGCTTACCAAAATGTAAATTTAATAGCTTATCTGTATCCTCTATTTAATTCCTAGCTTCCAAATGAACATTGTTGAAAGACAAAATACTAGTACTAGTTCAAAAATGCTTCTACAGTTTTGTATATTTAATCGTTACGAAAACAGATAATGATAACATGATGGACCCGGTTCACTTGTTTGATTTCAAACTTACAAAAAATTCAAAACATCGTTTTATTGCTCGATGTGCTATTTGCTCAAATAAATCATCAACCAATACATGAACTCTTTTAGTCTATTACCATTACCAGGGTTACAAACTAAATATTTACATTCTGTATGCTTGGACCCATTGGCGAAAATGACATTCATTTTTGCATAACACATGTGACCTCATCACAGCGTATTGATACCTTTAATGACGTAGCACAGTGCGTAATTAGTACACGTCCGCCGTGAAACAGCCATCGGCGTAGTTTAGTTATGCTAATACCATTAACATTAAACATGATAGACTTCATTTTAATGCTCAAATGAGGTGTGTAAGGTACATGATAATAATATCCGGCGTGTGTTAGTTCTACAAATTAAATTTGAAAATACAACTATATTCTGTTTGTTTTGTTGTCATGCTGTTGGTAGGACCACCACCGGAAGTTTAACATTTTCCCGCAAAAACACGCTGTTCTCTCTACTGCGTTGCCCTCATGCACAAATAAAATTACAATGCCGGTATTTTTTTTTATTTCTGCTTGCATCAGAAAATTAAAACCATTTAAAATGTAAATATAAGGAATAACATTTATTTTATCAATATTCATGAGGTCATAACAACATTGGCTTTTTGGACATATTTATCAAAAATCGCTAACGCGATTCATAAAATATGTCCAAAATGCCAATGTTGTTATGACCTCATGCATGTTGAAAATATAACTTGCATTCCTTAAATAAATCTTAACTACCAGTCTATAACCATTACCAGGGTTACAAACTAAATAAGCTCTTAACTACCAGTCTATTACCATTACCAGGGTTACAAACTAAATAATCTCTTAACTACCATTCTATTACCATACCAGGGTTACAAACTAAATAAACTCTTAAGTATCAGTCTATTACCATTACCAAGGTAACAAACTAAATGAAGTCTTAACTACCAGTCTATTACTATTACCAGGGTTACAAACTAAATAAACTCTTAACTACCATTCTATTACCATACCAGGGTTACAAACTAAATAAACTCTTAACTATCAGTCTATTACCATTACCAAGGTAACAAACTAAATGAAGTCTTAACTATCAGTCTATTACCATTACCAGGGTTACAAACTAAATAAACTCTTAACTACCAGTTTATTACCATACCAGGGTTACAAACTAAATAAACTCTTAACTACCAGTCTATTACCATTACCAAGGTTACAAACTAAATAAGGTCTTAACTACCAGTCTATTACCATTACCAGGGTTACAAACTAAATAACCTCTTAACTACCAGTCTATCACCATTACCAGGGTTACAAACAAAATAAACTCTTACCTGCCATTCTATTACCATTACCAGGGTAACACACTAAATAAACTCTTAGCTACCAGTCTATTACTATAACCAGGATGACAAACGTCTTTTTACATAGTAACTTAAGATGTGGAATAGAGATAGTTTGTGTTTTTTGAGTATGCTTTCTGCAATTTGTTTCTTCTTACTGAACATTTTACTGAAGCACTTTGTACACTAAACTACAGTATACAAAACTGAGGGAAAACGTCCGTTCTCTTTATGTATGGGAACTTTCTTTTTCAAGAAAGGCGAGATGTATTTGAACTATAAAATACCCCTTCATTTGTCTATCTTACCAGGGAAC